AAAGAAAAAAATCTGACTCTCAATCTATACAATCTATTATAGACAGTAACGGTAAACACTCTATGGACAGCATATTCATTAATAATACATTTAAAGATTCTTTTGAGAATTTCTACAAATCAGAACTAAAAGGGGACAAAACACAAACCACAGCGCTTTTCTTCTCGACACTTAATCTCCCCACGTTATCTGAAGATCAGTCATTACCCCTTAATGCCCCTATATCTAAAAATGAGGTTCTAGCAGCAATAAAGAGTTTACAATCTGGGAAAGCACCTAGTCCAGATGGACTTAGTTGTGAATTCTATAAGGAATTCAAAGACTTATTAGTGGATCCATTATTAAATATGTTTAATGACTCTTTCTGAAAAGGCCGCCTACCACAGTCACTGAGAGAGGCAAATATATCCTTAATTTTGAAAAAAGGAAAACAACCAAAGTACTGTTCGTCATATCACCCTATATCACTGCTAAATGTAGATCTGAAGATCCTTTCAAAAATTTTGGCCACCCGCCTTAAAGGCTTTCTTCCTATATTAATAGAGGATGACCAAACCGGCTTTATTGTAGGCCGTAACTCGGTAAATAACATGCAACGTCTTTTGAATGTGATTCAATTTGCTAAACAACAATCAGTAGAAGGTCTTGTGATCTCATTAGATACGGAAAAGGCGTTTGATCGCATCAAATGGCCCTTTTTATTTCATACATTACATAAATTTGGTCTTGGTGAACAATCTATTAAGTGGGTACAAATATTGTATAATGAGCCTTTTAGTGCTGTACTCACTAATGGCTGTAGATCCTCTATGTTCAAAATTGAGAAAGGAACAAGGCAAGGTTGCCCTCTCTCACCCCTTCTGTTTGCCTTAATAATAGAGCCATTAGCAGAAGCAGTACGGGAAAATAATAAAATTAATGGTTTTATGGTAGCAAACAAACCACACAAGATTGCTCTATATGCCGACGACATTCTTATATTCATGGTAAATCCTGAAACCTCTACTCCAAAACTCTTAGACACGATTGACAGGTTTGCAGATTTTTCTGGTTATAAAATTAACTACCATAAATCAGTGGCAATGCCTATAGGAAGTTTACAACAAATACCTCAAACACTACCATCATTTCCATTTAGGTGGGCCCCAGAAGGTTTAACATATTTGGGCATCAATGTCACCCCCTCCTATGAACAAATGTATAAAGCCAATTTTAATCCACTTTTTGAACGCATTCGAATGGACCTAGAGGATGGAATATTCTCCCTATTTCTTGGATGGGTCGGATCTCCCTTCTGAAGATGAATATTCTACCGCGAATACTCTACCCTATTCAAATGATTCCGATCAATTTTACACACAAAATCATTAGGAAACTGAATGGCTGGTTTAATTCTTTTATCTGGGCAAACAAAAGAGCACGTATCAAAATTTCAACTTTAATGCTTTCATCCTTGGCAGGTGGTCTTGACCTTCCAGACATTCGAAAATACCAATTAAGCGTACATTTGCACTTTATTTCTGACTGGATACATAAAGGACCCAGTGCAGTTTGGTTTGACATTGAAAGTTCACTCTGTAAAATCCCTCTCAGAAATTTGCTTTTTTTTAAAAAACTTAAATCAGTGAAAATGGCCTGCAATAATCCCATCACAGTTTGTACTATCAAAGCATGGCAATCTATAAAACAATTGGAAGGGAGATCTCGACTCACCTCAACCTTTACCCCATCTGTGATAATTTTGACTTTCTGCCAGGAACTGAAGACCCACAATTTAAAGTCTGGTCACAAAAAGGTCTCACCACATTACAAGACTTGTTTGATGGAAATATTTTAATGTCTTTTGACCAACTGACCAATAAATATAATATTCCGCAACAAGATTTTTTCCGCTACTTGCAACTAAGAGACTTTGTGAAAAAAGACACTACAGTACTCGAAAATCAGGACATTTCAGTTGTGGAAAGACAACTTTTTTCATACAGGGACAATTCCACAAGCTGTTTCTACAAAGTCCTGAAGGATTGCGGCTCTTTAAATACGGGCTTCTTGAAAGAGACTTGGGAAAGGACCCTTGATACACAAATCACAGATGATCAATGGAAGGAAGCTTGGAAAAATGCAATGTCCCTAAGTGTATGTAACAGAGTAAAAGCAATGCAACTGAAAATTCTACATCGAGCTCACATTTCTCCCTCACGGAGGCACAAGTTTAAAGAGGAGTTGTCACCAATGTGTCTGAAATGTAAAACCGAGGAAGGAGACCAGGGGCCTCATGTATCAACGCTGCGTACGCACAAAAACTTTGCGTACGCCAGGTTTCACGCTCAGAATCGCTCACGTTTGGATTTACTAACAATGAACTGAACGTGGGAATGTGCACAACTTCATGGCAGCTTTCTGGCTGGCGTACGCACATTTTTAGTGCGTGTCTGTTTTATTTCCATTGGCGACTCCCAGAGGCAGTTTTGTTAAATTGCTCTTTACAAAGTGTCTGAGCCTTGCAATGGCAGCTGTATGAGACGGGTTCATCTAGCAGGTATATAAGGTTTCCATACCATACAGTTGACCAGCTAAACATTAAAGCACAATTTGCAGCGGTCGCCTGTTTTCCCAATGTAATCTGAGCTATCTACTGGACGCACATTGCTATAAAGACACTATCTGAAGATGAATTTTCATGCGTGAATCAGAAACATTTCCATTTAATAAATGTGCAAATAAAATATGATGCACCAACTTATTGATGATTCCTACTTGTCTTTCTCGTGATAAATAAAAACAAAATCTGATATGTAGTGGGCGAAAAAAGAAGAAATAGTTCATCAGATGCTGGATTTGAACCGAGTTCATGCTTGAACGTGTCAAAACATGATGACATGAGTCTTATGAGCTGCACCACTGAGACTGTTACAACCGCTGCAACATTTTAATGATATAAATCACACAATTTCTTTTTTAATTCACTCAGTGTGATGTTCAGACCCAACTGTGTTAACCGCATCAGCTAAACTCTCCCACTCAATTTTTTTCTTTTGTTGTTAATTCCGGAGAACAAACTTGCAAATAACGCCGCTTTTCTCTGGCCTACCTCCGAAAGCAGCACCACCAATTCACATTCTGTTCAAAGTTTCTCTTTTTGCTTGCTTTTGCCTTTGCTTTTTCGTTGGGTTTTGCCAAAGTAGAGTCATTAGCATATTCATACGGGGGAGGAGGAAGGGAGGGGTTTTGTGCTCGTGCATGTTGCCAGTTTCACGTTCATTCGGATGTACAAAAGAATATGCGTGGGATTCAGCGTACGCAGTGTTTCATACATCTGAATTTTTTTCTGCGTACGCACATTTACAGCTTTGTGCGTGCGCAATGTTTTAGTATGATTTCCATGCAAGTCTTTGTACATGAGGCCCCTGGTTCATTGTTTCTGGCTTTGCAGGGAAATTCAAAAGTTCTGGGCCATGATTGAACAAGAAATTAGTGGAATTTTATCTTTTAATATTGGTTGTGACCCCAAGCATATGCTGCTTGGGATATTCGACGAGATTAATATGGACAAGCATAAAAAACACTTTGCAAGTTCCTGACATTTTGTGCAAGAAAATGTATTCTCCTGAACTGGATAACGGACAAAACTCCTACAAAGTCTTTATGGCACAGGGTAATACTTGAATATGTACCACTGGACTACTTAACTTGTGTCCTACATGGCAAAGATGTTTTATTTCATGAGAGGTGGGATCCATTTTTGTTACATATGGGTTTAAACATAACCTCCATAATCATCAGAGGATTGATTTAACAAGGATGCAATATCGCTACTTTAATTAATGCCCCCCCCCCCTTTTTTTCTTTCTTTTCTTTCTCCCCAGGTTCTGTTCACTTGTTTGTTGTTGTATCTGTTTTGTTTAAAAATTAATAAATACATTATAAAAAAAATTAAAATAAAAAGTCAAAACGAAATAGAAACTAAAACTATTATAACCTTGGTCCATTATCGGTGAATCAAGTCAAGAAGATTTACCAGTCTCTTAGAGTTTTTTGTTAGGATCTGTCAGGTTTTACCCTTTCAAACAAAGCTAGTGTTGTCCCTTTGAAATTCACATAGTTTTTCCCGGATCTTCGCTTGATGTTTTTCCTTACTTTTCTTCCATGTCACTCCAACCTTTTGCCAAGGTCTTTGTTTCTCTTTCCCAGGGATTCCTATAATAGTTTCTTATTCGCTGTTTATCAGTCCTTTTTCTTTCAGATCTCTTGATGCCTCCGTCATTGAATTGTACATGATCGGCCCGTTTACCAAAAAGATTTTAAGTTTTGCCGGCGGTGGTGTTTAGAACTTAATTCCCTTTTCATTCAGAATGCTTCCTTCCGGGATTCCAAAAATCTGATTATTATTTCTACGGGAGTGTGTTTCTAGATCTCACAGTTTCTCTTTTAAATTTTCTTGTATTTGAATGGATTGATTGAGCATTTCTTTCATCTCAGCAATGTTCTCCTCCAAAATTCTCCAACTCGCTTCTCCACTTCGTTGACCTTTTCTGTCGTTGCATTTAGGTCCGTGATAAGGTCATCCAGTTGTTGATTGACTTCTTGTTTACAGTTACTTAATTCCATTTTCACATCTTTTGCGAGAGAATCTTGGAAGGCGGTTAAATCAGATTTAATATTCTTCTGGAAAGCTTTGATGTCTGTAAATATTGCTGCAATGATAGGTGACAGGCTATCAGCTATCCCGTCCGTCTTGGATTTTTCATCTGTTGATTTCTCATTTTTTTCAGGATTTACTGGTTGTTTTGTCCTAGCCTTTTTGTTTTTGTCCCTCCTCCATGTCATTTAAATATGGTTTAGGTTATTATATATGATGTAAAAAGGAGGATCAATACCAGTGTGTATGGAAGCGCTCTTTCTATGCTGCTACATGTGTCGGCGCCTTACCAGAAACCATCCCATGTGTTTCTTAAGCTGCCCTGATTAAGTGAAACTTTGTACACACTGATCATGTCTACAGTTTCTCTCCAATGTGAATCCTCTCATGTGTTTTCAGGGTTCCTGAGCGAGCAAACCTCTTACTGCACTGTGAACACTTGTACGGTTTTTCTCCAGTGTGAACCCTCTGGTGGCGTTTCAATTCTGCAGCTGTAATAAAAGTATTCTCACACTTCAAGCACATAAACTCTTTCTCTCCAGTGTGGATCATCATTTGTCGATTAAGGGATGTTGATTGGCTAAAACTCTTCTCACACTGAGTGCATGTGAATGGTTTCTCTCCAATGTGGTTCCTCATGTGTATATTAGGGTTTGATGATTGGCTGAAACTCTTACCACACTGAGTACATGTGAATGGTTTCTCTCCAGTGTGTATCCTCATGTGTAGATTAAGGGATGTTGATTGGCTAAAACTCTTCCCACACTGAAGGCATGTGAATGGTTTCTCTCCAGTGTGGTTCCTCATGTGTATATTAAGGTTTGATGATTTGCTGAAACTCTTACCACACTGAGTACATGTGAATGGTTTCTCTCCAGTGTGTATCCTCATGTGTAGATAAAGGGATGATGATTGGCTGAAACTCTTCCCACACTGACTGCATGTGAATGGTTTCTCTCCAGTGTGGATCCTCATGTGTTGATTAAGGTATGGTGATTGGCTGAAACTCTTTCCACACTGAGTGCATGTGAATGGTTTCTCTCCAGTGTGGATCCTCATGTGTTGATTAAGGTATGATGATTGGCTGAAACTCTTCCCACACTGAGTACATGTGAATGGTTTCTCTCCAGTGTGAATCCTCATGTGTTGATTAAGGTTTGCTGAGTTGCTGAAACTCTTCCCACACTGGGTGCATGTGAATGGTTTCTCTCCAGTGTGGATCCTCATGTGTTGATTAAGGTTTGCTGAGTAGCTGAAACTCTTCCCACACTGGGTGCATGTGAATGGTTTCTCTCCAGTGTGGATCCTCATGTGTTGATTAAGGTGTGATGATTGGTTGAAATTCTTCCCACACTGAGTGCATGTGAATAGTTTCTCCCTATTGTGGACCCTCATGTGGATCTTTAGTTTGCTTTTGTTTGCCAAACTCTTCCCACACTGATTGCAGGTAAAACAACGCTTGTCTCTCATTTTTAAAATATCATCAGTCTCTAAATGAGTTTTGTCTTCAATTTTGACATGATGTTCCTCCTCTTTACTCCTCTCATACTCTTTAAACAGGTCTGAAATAATAATAAAAAAAAAGTTCAGCTTTTAGTAAATCATTAAAACTCTCAGTGAAAAGGAAGTGAAAACTTTAATTTTGATGCACATTAAATGTAAAAACAGCAGATAATATTTAGATTGATCTTGTCATATTAACCTCCTAGTGTCCATTACACACAAACACATTTAAGCAGATACTTATATGATTAATCCCAGAGCATTTTGGTCATACTGATGAGACATAAATTTGAAAGCTGTAAATGGCCAGTTTCTATTTGTAATATTCGTCATCACACAAAACAACATGTTTTTGTAAAACTTGTAAAGCAGATAGGGAATGCTTTTTCATTCTGTGCCTGACTGGTAAACCTGTCAAAAAAAAAAGCAGCTGAATCTCTGAGAATATTTGCCCCACAGACATGAGACATATCTGCATAACATCTGCATAAAGCCTTAAACCTGCACCTTTAGATGACAAATGTTCTCTGGTTTAGTAATCTGCATGTAACGAATGCAATGCAGAATACTAACACTTAACTGTTTCAGATCATCAAACAAATGTAAATATTAGACAAAGATAACATAACTAAATGCATTGTGCAGTTTTTAAATAAAGAATTTTATTCTTAAAAGGAGGACAAAACACTGAACTACACAGACTTGTGTGAAAATGTTTTTCCCCATTAAACATAACTTTATTTATCACACCGGGTTCAAGTTCTCTAGCCACACCCAGACCTGATAACTACCACACGTTCTCAATCAAGAAATTACCTAAATAGGACCTGTCTGAAGTAGACCAAAAGAGCCTCAAAAGCTAGACATCATGCCAAAATTTAAAGACATGTAAACACAAATGAGAAAGAAAATTCTTGTGTCATAAGTAAAAAAAAACAAAAAACAAAAAAAAACTGAATCAAATGCAGAAAAACAACAAGGGTTTATTAAGGAGTGAGAACCGGAAAAAGCAAAAATCAAAGTAAACACCCGGTCGGGTGAGCGCTGATAAAGTTTCATGGGAAAAAACAACCAGACACTCACTCACTAGCGGTCCTGGACACAAATACAGGGTGAGTAACAAAATAATATGCACACAAATTATCGATAACATACTGACAAACATGAAGGGAATGATGTGGTATAAACAGGAAAAAAGGGAAAAAAGGGAAACGAGAGCTTCTGTGACTGCAAATAAAAGCAGATGACATGAGATAATCTGTAACCCAGAACAGGAGAAGAGAGCAAAAGCGTGAGGTACGGTGACAGTACCCCCTCTCTCAAGAACGGCCCCTGGCATTCCCTTAAGACTCACTATGGAACTAATGAAACTGATCAATGAGAGAGCGGTCCAGATTATCCAGAGCCGGAATCCAACATCTTTCCTGTGGACCATAACCTTTCCAGTCTACCTGATACTGATAACCTCTCTTTAAAGCCATAAAGAATCCGATTCCATGGACCGAAGAATGTGAGCGGGCTTTCATAGATACAGTACATGTCCCTGTCGAAGGTCTGTAATGTTAAGCTAATTATTCATTAAAGGCCAAGCCATTCTCATACGTGACGTAGTGTTCTTTGTGAGACTGAAATGTTGGTAATAGCTGTGTTTCCATCCAAAAATGAGAACTAAATTTATTTGCAAAACTGGAATATTGCATGAAAAATACACAAATAAATCAGCGTTTCCATCCAATGAATCAAAGAGAACAAAATCGTCACTTCCTGATTAACTGGTTCCAAGTATCAATAGTAAAAACAGAATTTATTACGGTAGAAATAGTTACATGAATCTTTTGCTTATTTAATAAATGACTTTCCCCTCAGAGGACAATGAACATGTGGTGGCGTTTGAAGCCATGAGATGCAGAGAACAGACACTCTTGACACACTCCAGACGCTCTGGAGATCATTAATAATATAATAATATAATAACATGAATACTGAAATGGTTCAGGTGTTTTAGAATGACCAAAACAACATTTTAGACGCTCTGCAGTTTGCTCAGCCTGCTGGTTTGTGCATTCACACACATTTGTATCATCATATAATCTCTTATAACCAACCTTTTTTAATGCACAAACTGGAATTTGTTCAGTAAAGGTGCTTGCGTAGTTCACGTAAGTTTATCTTTTCTTATAAAATAAAAAGTTTATCCTACTCAGTTATGCGCATGTTTTTTATGCCAATATTTCAAAAGTTATGTGCATCATGACATTTCCATCAACCAATTTTTTTATGCTCATAGCTCATCCAAAATGCACTTAAAAATAGGTGGCTGGAAACGTAAGGCTAAGCGAGAAAAAGGAAAGGAGACTGACAAAAACTCACGAGTTTAGAGAATAAAACCTGCTACTGACCAGGTAGGTTCACAGAGTAAGTTACCAGGTAACTGACTCGCAGTTAAAGTTAGATCTCTTTCAGAAACTGGCTTACCCTGCTTTCTCAAGTTTGACTAACCTGCCATTTTGAAATGATAACCCAGACTTTCTCTCATTTCAGGGCCCTGAACTCATATGCTATTGTTTTAGAACTTCAATTGCCTATTGGAGAAATGACCAGGATTAATAAACTTGCTCCACAAACAAATGTGTTCATGACTATACATACAAAAAACAATAAAATAGGAAAATATGACTTTGCAACATCAAGCAGCGTTAGGCATGGGCCAGTATCAGATTCTGACGGTATGATAAGCTTGAATAAAAATATCATGGTTTAACTGTACTTTTTCCCTTTGAACAAAATATTTTCATTGGAGAAACTTTTACAATATCTTGGAGCAGTAAACATGTCTGGCAAAATCATTCAAATGAATAATTGACAACTGCTGTGTTCATTTGTTTTAAAAATACAGATTTATTTACAATTTAAAACCTCATAATTTGGATACATTTTCTCCTGGAGATACTGTTGTCCTAAAAGACTTAAAATAAAACATTTTTAAAAAGTATATACTGTAGGAACAATACAGCAGAAAATATTGGCGGTTTTAAAACCTTGACTTTTCTCAAACCGAGGTATACCTTGTAAACTGTCCCTTGCCTAAGCAGCATGACATGGTTTTTAGGATCTAAAAATTCATCCTTTAAAAAAAAAGTCTCAAGCAAAAAGATTTCAATGGCGGCGCCTGCTGGTACGTGAAGAATTTGGTCAATACTGACAAACTTTATGCTCAAATGTTTGCATATCATCAGTTTGCTGTAATCCATTTCTTAAACAGCAAAAGTCATTTTTAGACTAGTTTTAGACTAGTTTGGCCAGTTGTAGTCAGTGCAATGCTAAACGTTATTGTTCCACTATAATGTGTTTGTTTTGTCTCATGTCATTCCACAGCAACATCATATAGTTTAGAACACTGTACAATGTTTTATAATAATTAATTATTTTAGTGTCCATTTCATTCAGCATATTTAATATTTGGGGCATCCACGTTTTCTGACATACTTTAAACCAGAGTTTCTGCAGGTTTCACCAAATTAAATTTAAGACATTAAGACAATTTTAAGACCATTATGAATGAAATTTTAGACTCCTAAAGGGCTAAAGATTTTTTCAAATGGCCCAGATAGAAAGGATTTTATTTTCCCTATCAAAAAATAAATAATAATAATTTTATACATTTAATTATACAATAATAAATGAATAATAAAAACATTTAATATTTTAGATATTTCTTAGCAAAAGATCTTAAATATTGTGTAAAAACAAGCAAGCTCTACTTCACTTTTTTCCAACATAAATTTTCTTTAAAAAAAACAAAAAAAAAAAAAACAATTAACAAGTGCATTAAAAGTTTTTAAAAAATTAAAAAAAAAATATATGCACAACAGTCTGTCCTCAGCAGTAAATACATGGAGCACGTTTAAACATATGTTATTGTAAGGAAAACAATCAAAGCATTATGATAAATAGAGTTAAAATGACCTTTTTGAATAAAAAGTTTACTGTTTTATTGAGATGGATTGTTGGTGATTGTATGGGGTTTGACCAGATTGAGCAGCAAAACATGAACAAAGGAAAATGAAGACTTGTTTAAAAAAGATTTAAGACCTACAATACAACATTTCAGTAAATTTAAGACTTTCAGGCCTAAAATTTTGATTTTGTAATTTACAACCCCGCATAAACCCTGTTTAAACACAATAGCCCTGGTAATTAGTTTTTATAATATTAATTTAGTTCTAACTCAGAGAGAGAGAAAGAGAGAGAGAGAGTTTTAATTTTATTGCCATTTCAGCGTCTATGGCTATGTCATGGCAAAAGGAAAATAGATCAAGTAAAAATATTCCAACAATTAAAAGTCATCAACAGCAATAAATAATGTACAAGGTAAAACATATAAATAATAATAATAATGATAATATATAAGATAAAAATCTAAAACAGTTTTTTAGGATTTCCTTTTGATAAAAATTCTACAACTTTAGATGGATTCACGTTTAAAAATATTTCCTTTAAAGTCTCTCCAGATAAATATTGTTGTCTGATAACATTAAAAATAGGGCATTCCACAAGAATATGTTTAACTGTTTGGTTTCTGTTGCAATAAAGGCATTTTGGTGGTTCTTCTCCTTTGAGTAAATGTTCATGTGTTAGTCTCGTGTGTTCTAACTCAGATAAAATCTGTAAGAACTAGTAACAACTACTAGAAACAAGTTTAAACCCATAAAGAAGTTGAGGGCGAAAAGGGAATTGTGATCAACGTGACATATGCAATGGAAATTACAAAGCCAACACTATCACCGTAATAGCAGATATCTTCTATGAGAATACTGCAGGTCAAATATTGTCAGCTCAGTTAAACTTTAATTTATTATT